CACGCACACACATTCATTTAAAATACAAAGGCATTTCATTCACAATATCAGAAAGCTTTATTTTCACCTTCATGATAATGTAAATTCTTTATAAAGAATTAAGAAATAAATAAATAAAGTAAATTCTCTTCTAAAACATAAAAGTGCCATGCAGTGATGTGATTCTATGAGAAACGTAAGGCCGTTTATCTTGTTTATCTTGTCGCGGATTCTTCCATTGTTGTTTTTGTTTGACAGCTGTAGTGTAGCATTAAATATTCAGGGAAAGTTTGCAATTATAATTACTGGGTCAGGGATCCTCTCACACTTGACTTAACAGCATTCGCACCAACAGGGAATCATCTTTAATTTAGACCACCACTGCCATTATGGTCCCAGGATTTGGGACAAGAGAGAGAGAGAGAGAGAGCGGGTCCTCCGAGGGGCGTTGAACGCTTCCATGGGTACGTGTGCATGTGTTCGGGATTACAAACTGGTTGCTCCAGTGCGATCCTTAGACATGCTCTCTCTGATTGTGCATGTGTGTGTGTGTGCCTGTGTGTACGCTTTTCATGACCAAGAAACACCCCCTACTGTGGCGCCCGCTGTGTAGATCAGCTTCCAGTTCTAATGCACATTAAGTTGTTCCTTCTTGACATTTCACTCAGTGCGCTCTCGGCCCCAGGCTGCATAGTAGAAGGCTGTGTTTTTCATTTGAAGCTCAGAGCACACAGAGAAGCGAACAGGGGGTAAAATACAAGTTTAGGGGCCAACGGCAAACATCTTGTGTCTACTTTTCCGTTTTGGCAGTGGCTAACTGTGACACATGGGCCTTGTAGCTCATTACAGAAGGAGCCTGGTGCATGTCTCTATAATCAAGGCGATTCTGCGCCTGCACTGCATGTATAGCGTATCTCTGGCTTTGCATTCCCAGCCTTTCTTCAAATCTTGTGTATGTGTTTTCAATAATACTAGCCTGCCGATCCTTTGACAAAGAATCCTGGAGGGAGTATGTGAGAAAGCGACTGGGAAAGAGTTCATAAAAGGCCAGATCAATGGTGAATGTGCATGCATGCTACACTTAAAGGTCTTTCAAAGCCTTTACGTTTTTTAACTGTCTGTATTGGGTTACTGCTGGTAAATGGAAACTGCTGATAAGCTCTGTTTCAAAATCTACTGAGATGCCTATTTAGGCAGTATTTTAACTCGTAATAGAGCTAATTCCCACACAGACAATCAGCAGATTACAGTACGTCACCACTTTTGAAAATGTTCAGTCGGCTAAAACAAACATCAACAGACCCGATGGAAAACCCGCTGATCAATTGATGAGAGAGATCATTCTGACTGGCTAATTTCATATCATCTTACCTGAGTTACCATCTTACCATCCAACCAAAATGGTTGACAAGCGCTGCTTTGTTTATGGTTTGCATATCCACAGTCCTATATTGGGTTGAATGACGAATATAGACTACTGCCACCTGCTGGTATGGCCCAGTTCACTTCAAAAAAAACTTTTGCTGATAATTTACTCACCCCCATGTCATCCAAGATATCCATGTCATTCTTTCCTCAGTCGAAAATCATGAAAATAAAGGTTTTTGATGAAAACATTCCAGGATTTTTCTCCATATTATGGACTTCAATGGGAACCAAACGGTTCAAGGTCCAAAAGACAGTTTCAGTGCAAACTGCAAACTGTTCAAAGGGTCTAATCCAGCGAAACGATCGCTCATTTAAAAAATAAATAACAAAGTTTAAGGTTTATAAGCTCAAATGGTCACCTTGCTCTGTTCTGTGATGCGCGTTCGTGACTCTCCTGTTCGAACTCGTTCATCAAAATGAACAAATCTTTTTTCGAGTCATTTGGTTCATTCAACGATCGAAATGAACGAATTGACTCGGAAAAAGATTTGCAGTGAAACTTTCTTTTGGACCTTGAACCGTTTGGTTCCCATTGAAGTCCATTATATGGAGAAAAATCCTGGAATGTTTTCATCAAAAACCTTTTTTTTTTTTTCGACCGAAGAAAGAATGACATGGATATCTTGGATGACATTGGGGTGAGTAAATTATCAGCAAAAGTTTTTTTTTAAAAAAGTGAACTACTCCTTTAATTTATAATACATGGCTGTTGAATGCTTGAATCTGATTGGTTGACGAACTGCATTAGTCTGCTATTAATGCTCAAGACTATCTCTAAAATTACATTTTGGAATTAGCAGTGGCATGGGATAAGATGCGAGTCCTACACAAAAGACTGTTTTAAGGACAAAAACCTGACGAATATCCTGAAATACAACATTTGGACAATGTCTTGAGGTGTGGTAACCTTATAAGTGAAATAATTGAATCCGTTCTGTTGAATTATTATAAAATAATGCACACTCCCCTTTGCTTCAATGCTTTACCACCTCGGGTGTGCATTATTTTCTATTAATTAAATGGCCCGTCGTCAATTATTCCTTACATGACAGTTATCTCCATTGTGTGTTGACAATGTTGTCTCATTCAGATTTTGTCAAAATCAGGGGGGGTTGTATAATTTTTTGGTGGCTGTTATGCAAATGAGGCTGCATCCTCATCCAGAATTCTTGAAAGCTGTCAGGATAAATTAGTGATAAACACATCTCCAGCCCCAGCTGTCACCTCTTACTGAGGCGTCTGCCAGACTAGAGTGTATTTGGGAAATAGACGGAAGCTGTCCCGGCTTGGCCTTATAGACCATTAGCTTAACCTCAGCACAGCATTGTGGATTAATTTTGCATATCTTTAAAGGGTGACACCGGGGGGTGGGGTTGGGGTGGCATTTGAAAGGAGGGCGATGTTTAGCTCTCCTTCACACCCTAATATCTATCTATAATCTATCTATCTATATTAAAACCAAATTTAGTTATTTCCCATGACATCACTGACATTATTTATCTAGCTTGTGTAAGCATGTGTGTTTGTGCTAATATGCACAAAGAGAGTTACTGTAAAGTGATCCATGGCTATTTCACAGCTTTAGATGTTCTTACTGTAATCTTTGTCATGTTCTCTCAGAATACACAGGGCTGAGCCGGTTTCCTTTCACTTCTTTGCTCAGACGCATCTGTGGATTTGCGGCCAGGTAAATCTTCAAGGAAATCCCTCTGTAGAAGGAAGGCTGACAATCGGTCAGGGATGAAGAGAAGTGTGCGTAGGACACAATATTTTAGAGCTTATTTCACCCTCTAAGCCATACCGGGGCCAGATTCACAGCGCTCCGCCCACAGATTACTGTCATGAGGATATTAAAAATATTTGCCAAGAATTCTTCATCCTCGGATGCAAAGGGGCATTCTGCCTCTGACCCGTTGAGCTGGGATTTCGCCTTTGCCCAAGCTGGGTTGTTCAAGCCAGGTTATTGTTGCAATAAAAGATGCTGTTGTCCGTCACCGCTCATAAACCTTGTCATAGCCACCATTTCTTTTCTCCCCTTCTCAAATTCTCTTTGTTCTTAGGGTGAATAATTATATGCCATCACGATTTTTCCAAAGCACCAACCACAACAAGGGGCTCACAGTTCTGCCTAAAGTCATATCATGAAAAGTCATTTTTTTTCTGTGATCTTTTGAAATAAAGCAGTTGACGTTTTTTTTTTTTTTTTTTCTGTGAAAACATGCTGTAACTTTCCGAACTTTGTCTCTGTCCAGAATGACCATAGTTGGCAAAATCATGTCAGTCTTAACTTCTGCTACGGTTTGATTTCAAAGTAAAAACTGATATTTACAAGACAAAGAAGCTATTATTCTAGTTGGTATTTAACTAACAAAAATGTCATGTTATACAACTGTCTCACAACAATTTGACCCCATAGCAATAGCAATCTACCCCCAGAAAAAAAAAGAAGAAATGTTTCTCATTGCATGTAAAGACTCAGTTTTATACAATGAACATGGCTTTCTTAATTGTATAGGTCAGAGAGAGGTTTAGCAATGTGGTATAAAAACAAAGGTACAACTGTTTTGGGATTATTCTGGAGGAAACAAATAAAAAAAAATATGATTTGCCCTCTTTGGGACTGTTTTTAACCATTCATTAGGGGTCTAACAATATATCGTGCCACAGTATATCACAATACAAAAATGCAACAATACGTATCGCGGATAGTTCCTCCCAAATAAAAATGATTGTGTAAGAAAGAGTTTTAGTGCAAGTACTACATTAAACTACTATATCATGTTGATTATAATGTATAATAATGCAATGGGGGATTTCTGTTTGTCCTGATAATGCCAAATATATTATGTTTCTAGTAAAAAGTGGCCTACATTTATTTTAAAATATATCTAGTCAGTGACAGAGATCAAGCATATTCATCTAAAATAATTCAGTATTTTCAGTTTCAGAATCATGGATATTGTTATTCTGGTGTCACCAAGTCCAAACCTATTCATTGAAACCCACAATGTAATATCAAAGTTAGCATTTTAATCAACAGTACATTTTTTGTTAACCTTATCATATGTTTTGGAGTATCGCAATAATATTGTATCGTGAGTTCAGTATTGTGATATGTATCGACTTGTGACATGAGGGTATTATTACACCCCTACCATTAATGTTTTCAGAGGTCCTTGAGACCCATACTCTTCAGAACATATGCACTACAAAACAAAACAAAAATGGGGGAAAAAAAACTCGAGCATCAAGGAAATTACAGTATACTTGATCCAGCGAAGACATTCGTTTCTGCTTCGTCTATCAGATCTGAAAGAATAAACAGGACTGTGTAGTAAATATTGTTGTCTGTGCTGATTTAACTTCCTCCTCCATATTTCTTTTAAACAAACTTCTGAAATAATAATATCTGATCAGTATATGAACAGCACAAACAAGCTGTCCTTTTAGTTGGCCACTCTTTAACAGGAAATGATCTGTGGTCAGAGTTGGGCAAGTGGGCACCACCTCTCACGTGATTTATGCTTTTGGTGTGTTAGCATTAATGTCACTCATTCATTTCACACACGCTACCTGCATCAACTCTAAAAAATCCTGTTTTTTTTTTTTTAACCCAAATGATCAGTTGAGCCTTTTAGGTCATTTTCTTCAATGTCAGACATAACAACCCTAGTGGTTTGAGCTTTTTGCATCCAGTTCTCAGCGCCAACGAATAGGTGCCTTTCTTCAGTAAAACGGTTGGTGTACATTTTATTTGATCTATGAAGTCGTTATTGTGCTGTAAATCATTTACTTTTATGCGGAGCAACTTACAGTACATGGATGCAATGTGAGTCACCTAAATGAATGTCACATTTTTCTTTTCGCGCAATTGAAATGCCTGATGCCTTGCATAAAGTCTAAATTATTTTATCTGTAAAGATCTGAATAACTTGGATGTTAAATATGTCCGAAGGTAGTCTGAAGGTAGAAGTTCCCCTACTAAACATGATTCTCAGGTACGAGTACCAGCGTCATTATGGTAGAAACGGGATAACAGAGACTAGTCGTTTACACTTGAATTACTTCTAAATGTTACATTTCTACTTCTAATGTTTGTGAAACAAGTTTAAATGCAAGCAACATTGGGTTAAAGACAACCATTTCTGTGTTATTTGGGTTTTACACATTACCCCTTGGCTCATTTGTTTTTTGATATAGTGTTTGATCAGTCAACCCAATATTGAAGTTTTTTTTCACTTTAAATAATAAAATGTGATAGGTGTGTAAAATGTAATAAATGTAATAAAATGTAATAAAAATGTATAGGTGTAATTTGTTGTTGGGATGACTGGGACATGTCCCCACCATTTTTTGGTCGATATGTCCCCACCACTTTTTCAAACATTCCATGGTATGATGTGTACATTATATGTAACCGATACAAAAGACACATCTCTACAATTTAAAATTGCTGGGTTGTTTTAACCCAACTTTGGGTCAAATATGGACAAACCCAAACATTGGGTTAAAAATGTAATGGCTGGGTTTGTCCATATTTGACCCAAAGTTGGGTTAAAACAACCCAGCATTTTTTAGAATGTAGTTTATTAACAATTCGTTCATTTGTGGTAAATATTAAGATAAATACTCTCAAGTCTAACAATATATAATTTTAGATGTAAGGATGGTACTATCACATTAAATATGAGTCTTTATATTTAGTCTTTAGACTTTTGACTTTCCTCTTTGTCAAAGTGTAGTCTGTAAAACTACATGACAGAAGACAGGACCATAACAGAAGTTAATTTTTGTGGCGTCCCCCAGCCCCTTTTTGTGTTTTTCCTTTCACTATAGATCTGCCTGCTGTCCAGTTGCTCCAACACTATCTCACGACCAATTCGTACGAATTCGACGCATGATTAAAAAGTGGCTAATTCGTACTAATTCGTACGACCTCACTCGTACTAATTCGTACGATTTGTCTAAACCCACGTGATGGTTAGGTTTAGGGGCGGGGTAAGGGGTAGGTCATTCGTACGAATTCATACGAATTGGCCAATTCGTAAAATATGTACGATTTAGCAAAATCGTATTAATTCGTACGAGTGAGGTCGTATGAATTGTTACGAATTAGCCACTTTTTAATCATTCGTCGAATTCGTACGACTTGGTCGTGAGATCGGGTTGGTTGCTCTGCCTGGAGCAGGGAGATATATACACAAAAGAAAATCGTTAAAACAATTGAGCAATTTACAGTTCACACACACACACAAACATTCATGTCAAGGACAGCCAATAGTGTGCATAAAACCAGTGAAGTTTTTTCAAGAGGTAATCTGACTTCAAAAGCTTCGGGCATTCTGAGAATTGAAAACACACATATGATCACAGAGCCGCAGCTTTAATGAGCGTGTTAGGAATAGACAAAACTATGTCAGGAACTGAAATATGTAATCAACTCCTGAGGCGTTCTGTCATAAGCAAATCCATGCGTGTATATTTTTGAATTCCCTGGCACACTAAAAACAATGGCAAATGCCTTAGAGAGAGAGAGAGAAAGAGAGAGAGTACTCTACATAATACAATGTAATTTTGTGGAGAAAAGAGAAAGAAAAAAAAAGAGATTTCCAGGAATTTTTGCATGGTCTGCAAGTATTCTGCTGCTTATTTACAATTTTCATTACTAGGGTTTAGCTTGAGCATGTGACTACATTAAAGGGTTAGTTCACCAAAAAATAAAAATTCTGTCATTAATTACTGACCCTCATGTTGTTCCAAACCTGTAAGACTATCTTCAGAACACAAATGTGATGCGATCTGGGAAAACCTATCACATGGTGAAATTTTACATAATACAGGTTTTGAGACCATATTAAAGCTGGGTTCAAGCCCTTTCCAAATCTGTTTTTATTTATTTGATCGTTTGTCTGTAATAAAAGTTGTTATCTGAAATCGGCTGATCGCTGTGATTTACAGAAACAAAATTTTGAGAACTGTCACTTCCTGCTAGCGCTCTTTTTCTATTGCTTTTTTTTCATATTTTAGCAATCATCATAGATTATCCATAGTCATCCTGTGAAAACCGTTTTGAAATTGGACGATTGAGAGGCGAGCAAGGTCTTTTAAGCGAGTAGCTTCAGACTCTGTTGTTCTCTTGTGCTCCGCATCACACCACACGATAATGCTGGATAAAAACAAATAAATAAAAACTTGCGTACCATTATAGTTTACACAGGACTGGCGGGACCTTTATTCTGTTATGTGGTTTATTTTGATACGAAACTGTCTTTGTTGTGTTAAGAGAAGGAGAGTTAAATGGCTGATTTTGTTGTTTTTTGCCCCTCTGCTTCACCGTGTGTGTTCTTAAAGAGAAAGACGTTTTCAGCTTGCCAGTATAAATCGCACTATTTTTCTGCACTAAACTAGTGAATTTTGCCCAAGATATATTCAGACATGATAAACAAGATTATGAATAATAATTTATTGAAAATCCAATTTTGACAAAAAACTGACATTCGATCTGTTTTTAGACCTTACTGAAAACGTACCAGCGCGACATCCGATGGGTTTTCTTAGATTGCATCACAAATACAGATGATTTTAATGAATTCTGAGAGCTTTCTCCAATACACATTCACGAGAGTACCATGATGCATTAGTGTTGTGTTGTGTTGATGCGAGAGCAGATGTTGTTGCGTGAGCGCACTTTGGAGATTAATATTTTGTACATAAAGTTTTGATTATGTTTTTTTTTTTTTTTACGCAAACAAAGCCCTCGTGTCGCTTCATAAAACTGAGGTTAAACCACTGGAGTCTCATGGATTACTTTAATGATGTCTTTACTTTCTGGGGCTTGAAAGTGGTAGTTGCGTAGACTGTCAATGGAGGGACAGAAACTCTCAGATTTAATTAAAAAATATCTTAATTTGTGTGCCAAAATGAACGAGTGTTTTACAGGTTTGGATCGACAAGAGGATGAGTTAACGATGACAGAATTTGTGGGTGAATTATACCTTTAAGGTGCATTTTGTGCCATGAAAAACAAACTGTAAGTGTGTTTGTGTATTATTATGGACTAACATGTGAGCTGTCGGGAAAAAAGTACAGTATCTAGCTGAGAGCGACAAGGTGGGAGAAGCCATGTGTGTTGTGATTGTTTCTGGCCTATTTGACAGATGTTAGTGGGTGGAAAGCTTGCCGTTGTGGTCCCTCACTCCACTGTGATTTCAGGAATTGTCAGTGGCACATGCCTGTTTGTCTGGCTTCTGAAACTCTCTCACCTAACCTCCTGAATAATAAATATGCATATAATAAATATTGCACAACTCAAACCCAAGCATACATTTCACTGCATTTCCCCTCAACCCCCCACACAAGAATGTGGTGAACACTAGATTTATTTTTCATCAGTTTGGGGTATTGACAGTCAGTGTTTTGTGGCTCAGGGGTCACGGCTGGTGTTAGTCGAAGTAGTTTTGTGTCTATAAATAATTTGGCAATCTGGCTTGTCATCTACTGTGTTGTGTGCCTGTCTCACAATTTTGTATTGAAATCGTTAATGCCATCATTGCATTGCATATAGATTTTAATTTGGTTTTCTATATAGGGAACTTATCCATTTGGAGACCATAGCCAAGCACTTTGAGTTAAAGACCCCCCTTAAATGAGTTTATGAGCACATTTTTGACATTTTCTGTTGAAACAGAAACAGAAACAGTCCATTCTAGTGTTAATCAGCCTGCAAATCCAGTCTTGACCTGTGTCTTGTTTACAAAACAATCCTCAGTGAAATGAAGCGAACAAACGGAAAATGTTTTACCCATCAGCTGGAACGGTATTATCGTTCCTATTGGAATCCAGAGGAAGCTTGTGCAGCGACTGTCTTTTTCCACAACCAGGTACCGCACAATATTTTGTAAACGGCATGTTTACTGCTCAGTAGCTCAATCCAGTTTGTCATCACTAGTTAGGCCTACCGGTATGATATTTAGCTGTACGTGTAATGTGCGAATCGGTGGGCGGGGCTAACGGCCGTGTTGGAGTAGGCGTTGATCTTCTTCTGGGAGGTTCCCCACTTTGAAAAATGAGTCGTTTGCTGAGCCTGGTGTCAATAAAAGATTTTATTGGACTAACAAGGACGTTTTCATTTCTGAAATTTACAATCTGAAGAGTTCAGATGCAAAAGCCTCTAAATGCCATTTGAAATTTTCTTCTTTAATGATGATTTTTATCAAACTTGTATATTTAAGTTCAGTAATTTCACTTAAATAACAATTAATAGGTAATTATCATTGCCATTTAAGTGAAATCACTGAACTTAAATATACAAGCTTGATAAAAATGATCATTCTAGAAGAAAATTTCAAATGGCATTTAGAGGCTTTTGCATCTGAACTCTTCATATATTCTTTGATGACCTCTTAGATGTACCTCTTGGATGGAAATTTCTCAGTTCGTCACCCCTTTAATATATAATAATATATAATAATAATAACAGCACTGGTCCGCACTGACTTTCAGTTTATGGACCTTTTTCAAAATATCTTCTTTTGCATATTTTTTTTTGCACAGAAGATTTGGAATGACATGATGGTAAATGAATTTCATTTTTGGGTAAATTTTTACATATCAAACCACTACATCCGTGTTCTGACATTGAGAGGACAAGCACATAGTGTTCAGGTGCCAAGACAATTTTTGATCCTGTAGTAGATGGCTGTAGCTAACTGACATTGACTTAAAGTAGTCCAGTAGT